TATTCTCAAACATTTTTTTTCTCTAAAATTTTATGATATTCACTAATTGTGTCATTTTTCATTAATTCCACATCATAAGTATCTCATTTCTCCTAATGTGTGGCTTTCAAATTATTTTGAGTGCAATCTACGTTTAGACACATATTTTCCATTGCAATCCAGTTGCAAGGACATATATAATGGAACACACACACAATCACTGAAATAAGTGTGCCAGAAAAGTACATCTCTTTACTGTAACTTATAAATTTATTATATTTTATTTTTTAAAAATTGCTTCTGCACTACCTTAGATCAAGAGATGGGTGGGAGGAGGAAAAGGAAGGGAGTGAAAAAAGGAATTAAGATGTACTACGTACATGTACCAACTCCCCACAAGGAATGTAAACATTATGTACTATAAACATGTACTAATAAATAAATTTAAAAGCTCATCTCTTGTCCCTCTAATAAATTGTGATCCACAGTTTGAAAAATATTGCTCTCATGCAGAACTTCTTGATCTGGGATCTATGTATATAATTAACTGGTCTGTAACTTCAATGAAAAATAATTAGTTATTTTTACTATGTCATACTGATATTTAGAATTTCATTTTATTATGAATATAGGAAACAAACTGCGCTAGTACTGGTAGTACCATTTGTATGACTGTGTCACCAATGGAAACCTCGCATTAAGCATATTGTAGATATCCTGAAATATATTTTATACTCATCACTGCTTTGGAATAACTGAAGTTACACATTTGCTGCCAGATCATGTTATGTATTTTTTAAAAAGCACAATGACTGTATTACAAATGTACTTTGTAATGTGGTCTGCTGTTTTTAGACAGGGTCTCACTATATGGTTCAGGCTGGCCTTGAATTACTATATAGCCCAGGCTGGGGTTGAACTAACAGTGATCCTTCACACCTCAGCCTCCTGAGTGTTAGCTTTACAGGTGAAGGTCACCGCACCTGGCAACTTTACTATTTTGATAACTGTATTTTGATATACTTGGCTTCCTTTGTAATCTACATATTTTATTTTATAGCTTTATAAACATTCTGAGAAGGAGTTCTTGGGCTGCACTACACTAACAAAATGGTGCAGTCCAGGAAAAGGTTAAGACTCCTGACTAGGACACTGCAATATTCTCAGATGCACATAGTTGCCTCAGTACCTTTCATACAGAAAAGGTTCAATAAATATTTGTTGGACACTTTACTTCTCCAGGTAATTGGAGAAATTACACCAGGGTAATTGGAACTCCCCAAAATCTAGTCAGACACAGATCAAACAATGTTATGCTGAAAAGCTAATCTGGCAGTGTTAGAGGAAGAAGCTGCTGGCTACAGGCTCCTGACTCGTCAAGTGAGTAAAGCTGTCCCAGCCCAAGGGCTTGTTATTTTTAGGAATTTAAATTATAGAGCAGATTAAAAGTCAGTATGATCAGACAAATCAAATAAATAAATAAAACACGTATCTTGGATACCTCAATGACAAAAAAGTGTTATATAGATAAAATGTGTCACCTTTCTCATAAGGAATTCATATCTGGGAAGATGGAATATAAACAAATGGATATTAAGTAAAAGCAGCATCATGAGAACCTAAGTATTTGAAGACATGGCAAATAGTGTGTGCTGGTGAGAAGGTTGATTCGTGAAAGGAAAACATGATGGATAAGGCCTTCATCATTTACTGGGTTGGATTATGGAAGGCTTTAAGTGCAGGACCAGGGAAGTAGGATTTTATTTGACAAATACTTAAAGATCTACAGAAGATTTTTTGCATCAAAGCAAGGACATAGTAAAAGGAGTACTTTAAGAAACAGCATTATACAGGGGATAGTGAGGGACAAAATAGCTAGAACTTCCAATATGTTATTTTCAATTGCTATTTTTCTTGATTTGGAATCCTGTACTTGTGAATTCTTGCTAGGTACAAACTCATTACTTACTGTGATTTAAAAACCAAACTAATCTTCATCCCTACAAACATGGTACTATGGTTTGAATATGCACCCCCCCAAGTTCATGTGTTCGAAACTTAATCCACAATGCCACAGGGCTGAAGTGTGGGACCTTTAAAAGGTGACTGCCATGGGGGCTCTTCCTGAATGAATAGATTCACATCATTATTAGAAAAGTGGTGGCCTCTGCTTCTCTCTCTCTCTATCCCCCTCTCTCTCCTTTTTCTCTCTCCTTTTTGTCTCTCCCACCCTCTCTCTTTCCTTCTCTCTCTTTCTTCTCTCTTAGGTCTTCCACCTTGTGATAACAGAACAAGAAAAGACCTCCTCCCATGTAGCCCCTTGATCTTGGACTTCCCAAAACTATAAAAATAAAACCTATTTAACTTATGAAACTGCCCAGTCTTAGATATTTTGTAATAGCACTACAAAATGATTTAAGACATTTGAGATTCCTGACTTGCCTATTCATATAATAAATACGTATCTCCCGGAAACTGGACTGTTTTGATTTCTCCCTCTTCATCGTCTGAATGTAATCATTCAGTCCCTCTGGTGGCTTCCACTGTGAGCTTACTAAACTCAGATATAGTCAAAATACTCATATGCCAACCCTATGAAGGAAGATGAAATTTGGTATCACAAAATAAAATTAGTGGAGCTCTTACATTTTGTTATTTGCAGTGCAAAGGGAACCATACAAAGCCAGCACAGGACTTTGTGATTCTTCCATCCATTAAGGACTGAGGAGGCTGTCTTATCTTCCTCTCAAAGTGGCCAAATTCTCAGGGCTTTGTTAAGGTAGAGTGGTAAAGTAATTTAGACTCTTTTCAGAAAGGGTGAGACTAAATAAAAGAGTTAGGGAGGAAGAGATTTATCTGGCTTCAGTTCATAATCGGATGGCAAACAAGCATTACAGAGGAAACACAACATGGCATGCACAAGTCAGCAAAGGTAACGAGAGACCTTAACAGCATCTCCCTGCTTCTTTGACTACTCAGGGTGGGCAGCACTAGGATTGCAGTGCATCATGAATGAATTCCAGCTTCACACACTCTGGATCAAGCCTTTGACCACATGACGCTTTGGGGGGACATCCAGACCCAAACCATAACAGTAAGTAAATGGCAACTCTACCACAGGGATGTTAATAAAACTCCAAAATGAAAAGAGAAAGAAAAATGAAAGAAAAAAAAAAACCCTGTCAACTAGTTGTATATTCCAAGAGATTACTGCAGACACTTGGTGGAAAAGAAGGGCATGAGCTATTCAAAATGGATCAAAGATTTGAAACTACTAGAAGAAAATGTAGGGGAACCACTTCAGGACATTGGTCTAGGCAGAGATCCTTTGGCTACAAAATGGCCTTTAACGCTTCACGGGTTGGAAAGTAACTGGATTATGGGGGCATTATACCTGAAATGCTGTTAGGAGGTGGGGTCTGGTCAGAAGATTTGGGTAACTACAGCGTGACCCGGAAGGGTGTAGCTCCCTTCCTGCCTATTTATTCTCACAATGCTTTCTGGCTGCCAGGACGTGGGAAGCTTTTCTTTCACCAAGTCCCTCTGTCAGTTATGCCTCGGAGCCAGTCAACTATGGACTAAAAAAGAAGCCAAAATAAACTTCTCTTTCTTTAAGGTGCAGGTGTCTGATATTGTGTCCCAATGATGAGAAAGTGTCTAAGGCAGTTTTGATCCTAAAAACAGGAAACAAAAGCAAAAATGCACCAGTGGGAGCACATCAAACTAAAAGGCTTCTGTACAATAAAAGAAACAATCAAGAGTGAAGAGACAACCTACAGATGAGAGAAAATATTTTCAAACAATAAATCTGGCAAAGGATTAATTTCTGGAATGTATAAAGAATTCAAGCAACTCTTTAAACAAGTAATTCAATTAAAAGATGGGCAAAAGATCTGGATAGACATTTCTCAAAGGAAGATATACAAATATTTCACAATATTAAAAAATGCTCAATGTTACTAGTCACTAAGGAAATGCAGGTCAAAGCCACAACGACATATAATTCACTCCAGTTAGAGTAAAAAAGAAAAAAATAACAAATGCTGGCGAGGATGCAGAGAGAGGGGAACTTATACACTTTGTGGAAATGTAAATTAGTGCAGTTACTATGGAAATTAGTTATTAGTTGGGCATTTTACTCGTTTTCTATTGCCACACGAACAATAAGTAGCTCCTCCTTTAAACATTTTTCCTATTAAACATTATGCTATATCGCAGGTCTCTGCCTCTTTCTTTCCAACTGCTCCCTATTCCCAGCCAGTTTATCCTCTTTCCCTTAATTTCTGTGGAAATATCATGGGGCAAGTAGTTATTAGTCGCTGGATAGGGAAAGCAAAGAGAAACATCCTTGTGTTACACTTTTATGTTCTCATTTAAAATAAATTTCTCTGAAACTTAGCGTCGGTGTCTGTAACGAATATTACGAGAGACCAAAGAAGGACCAAATGTCTTCTCTTGTGAACAGAGCGCCTCTTCTTTCACAGTAGCTACCTTGCAAAGATCAGAGGCTCTTCAGAAGAGATGCGATCAAATAGGTCGCAGTCTGAGGCAGAAAGACCCTCTGCGAGCTTCTGAGGATTTTTTTAGGGGACTTGGCCGCATTGAAGTGGCCGCGCTGCACGTTATTAAGTACTGAGCGGCCCTCTCGTTTTTTTTTGCCCAGAGCACAGCAGTAGGTAGATGCACTACATCCCCGCTTTCGGTGAACACTAGAACTTGGAGCGTCGGTGGGTTCTTCGCTCCCCCAGAAGGGTTACCTTCTAGCTCCACTGCAGGGAAGCCAAAGCTAGAAATCAACAGAACGAAGACCAACCAAGGGGATTTTATCTGGGGAATTCTGCGGGCTGCGAAATTCTCCCAGAGCTGGAGGAAAGGCGAACGATCTCCGCCCCAACCAATCATAGGAGAGGATATCCTGACACGCCCCCCCCCCACTAATCAGCATCCCGCTCTACGGGTCCGACCATTGACTCCGAGAAACAGTCTTTTAAATTTCATTAGGACTGCTCTCTTTTCCATACCCGCGGTCATTCGAAGTCAAATTTCACGAACCGCATTCAGAGAGAAAAAGTGAGTTAACAATTCCAGAGCTGGTCAGTCTGGCAGTGAGAAGCGAAAATACAGAATTCGATATCGAACTATAGATTCCTGCAGCAACAGAGCCAGGGAACGCCGGTTTCCGGAAAGCAAACTACAACTCCCAAGAGCCCTTACGCGGACCCGGAGCGCGCAGAGCGAGGGGGTGGGCCATTGGAGGGCGGAAGGCCTTCCAGAACCCGCGCCAGCAAGTGGGCGGGACCTGGGTGGGCAGAGCCGACCGCGCAGGCTCTAGAGCTTTGTGCCCTCCCGGCTCCGGC